CCCTTTTTTGCGCTCTGATTCACAATGTGACAATATATAAAGTCTGTAAAAGGATGAGGGCAGGCCAGGCCCCGTGCTACGTTCATGCTAGGAAAGCATGAACCTGGCCGTTAGGGCGGCCAGATTCCTGCTTCCGACCATGAATGCAGCACCGGTGTGCCCTTCCTCCGCCCCCCTCCCCCCCCACCTCCCCTTCCCGCCACCGAATCTGAATTACTGGCCAGATTCGTTCCGGTCGTATGTCCTGGTACTGAAATGCGATCCAATGGCCAGCTGGGACTGTCCCACTGGGACCATCCGCAATTATGATGGGCCCAACCCATTGTGGAACCATTCCGGGACAATCTTGGGACCACCACTGGCTTATCCAATTGGGATCAATTGATTTCTAGGACCATTCTGGGATCATTCTGGGACCATTCTGGGACCATTCTGGGACCATTCCGGGACCATTCCGGGACCATGGACCATTCCTTTACCGCTCTGGGATCATTCTGAAAGGGGTGCGCATTTTGGTGCCATTTTGTTGTCATTTGGAGGCCATTCTGCGATGGGACCATTGGGGAATGGGTGCGCATTTTGGTGCCATTTTGTCGCCATTCTGACGCCATTCTGCGATGGGTGCGCATTTGGGGGGACCATTTTTGGGCTATTTTTTTGGGACCACTTTGGGACCATTCTCAGGTCATCCTGGGACTATTCCGGGACCATTTTGGGACGGAACCATTCTGGGATCGTTCTGGGACCAATCTGGGGCCATTCAGCGATGGGATCATTTTGGGACAATCGTGGGACGTTTCTGGAATGACACTGCAATCGTCGTAGGACCATGCTTAAACAGGGTGACCATACTGTATGAACCCGGAGGAATAACAGGGATCGAACTGGGTGAGAGTCAAGAATGAAATGCGTGCCTGCGGATTGTTTTTTTTTTTTCATTTTTCCTCTCATGCTGAGTAACTGTTGTGTGTGTTTGCCGGATGCGCCTGGGTGTTGCTCGCATGTGATGCAGATGAGAACTAATTGGGAGGATATCGTGGCACGGCAGTGTCCCCGTTATGGCCATACCAAGCTGGTAAGAGTCGACCTACTACATTCCTTGCTCTATTCTCTGTCCCGCTGTCGACCTGTCAGAGCGGTTTCTGGAATGCTCTCTCTTGCTGCTGCTGTACTCTCTCTGTCTCTCCCTCTCTCTCTCTCTGTGTCTCTCTTTCTTGTGTTGTGTGTGTGTGCGCGTGCACGTGCACATGCTGGCATGTCTTTTGTTTATTTGTGTCAGTGTGTGCGTTGGTGTGTGTATGTGTGTGTGTGTTGGTGTGTGTGTGTGTGTGTGTGTGTGTGTGTGTGTGTGTGTGTGTACGACAAAGCTATATGGGCCGGGTTGTCGTCCGTTAATTTGCAGACAACCAGCGACTGTTGTGTCTGAAGTCAGTTTTTTTTTTTTTAAACACAAAAGAAACGAAATGAATTCATTAACAGTAACAATACGAGGGCGGGGTGTCCGGACAATTCTACCCGGAATACTGACAGCATCAGCCAGCGTATAGCTTACAGGCTTTCACGGGCAGAAAGTCATTGCTACCGACTCTCCAGACCTGAGAAGAAGTTGCAATAAAGATGAAGGTGCAAGGTATTAAGTTCTATTAACCATACTGCTGCTGCGTAAGAAATTTCCGTGGTCTACCTACCAACTAAGCTACCATGTCTGGGCCGTATCAGTCCCAGACATGGTAGCTTAGTTTTGAAATCTTTTTTTGGAATCAACTTGAGGGACTGAAAAAAAGAAAGAAACATCTTGGTAAGTTGCGACGTAGAATATCAGATGATGGCTGTGAATGGATTCCCGTTGTAAGCTTTCCCAGTCCCGGTTCAAGGGTCCCTATTTGCCACAGTCCAGGCCCCAATTGTTTAGAGTCTTAGGGCCTGTAGGATCAGACACCGTAGGTCCGTAGGCTACAGTACCATACAGTACCGGTAGGAGCACATCCCCAAAAGTAAAATTTTGCAGCCGCCTCACAAGAAAGTCGTGAAATTTCCCAAAATAGCAATTGGCAAGGCAGAGGCTGAAGGAGGCCAGTACGGATTGAAGCAGGCACGAAACAGTCCACTCCATCTATATATCTTGGACTACAGTGCCGGACGCAGTCCGTTGTTCATTTCGCAAATTTGTGGAAGCGCTGCTGGGAGCTTGTGCAGACTAGCGACCTGGACGAAGAAGAAGGCTGAAGGGAGGAAGAAGACCAGCACCCTGGCTGCAACAGACCACCATAGCCAGGAGGGAGGAGACAAAGTGTTTGGCGGCCGTAACCGCCCGTTTGCAGTGAGACACACCGCAGAGGCATTCAGGGCAGATCTGGGACATTGTAGAGAGAGAGGAACAGTGAGTGAGGAACAGTGAGTGAGGAACAGTGAGTGAGGAACAGTGCAAGTGAAAGAGAGAGAGAAGGAGAGCATAAAGAGAGAGCGAGCGAGAGAGGAAAAGGTGGAAGGAGGAGGAGGGAGTCAGGCACATACCTGAGGAGTGTTGCAGCGGTTGAAACCCGCTTATTCCCGAACTTTTTTCAAGCGTATATTACTGGGCTTTGAGTGGAACTTCGAATTTGCACTGTTCATGGACACCGCTCAAGCTTGTGTGGACGTCATCTGAATGTTCTAAATTGCATGTTGTATTTTGAGCTGAATCTTGCGAGGTTCATTGCAGCTGAATTGCGTCGTATTCAAATCGTTTTTTTTTTTTTTTTTTTTTTTTTTGGGTCCTATGACTCCTATCCAAATCTGGTGGCTACATCACCTGCGTTCCTCTATCAGAGAAAAAAATACATTCTATTTTTGTCGTAGGCAGAATTACCAGAACGGGAAAGTAGCTGCGGAGTCTGTGTGCTGTGGCCCTAACTACTACTATGCTTCATATAATTGTTTCAGATGCACTCCCGGGGAGTGTCAAATGATTTAGAAACCTTGAGAGATAGAGTACAGAGAGAGAGAGAGAGAGAGAGAGAGAGAGAGAGAGAGAGAGAGAGAGAGAGAGAGAGAGAGAGAGAGAGAGGTGGTGATTCTTTTTTCATGTATGTGCAGGTATTATTGAATCTCCAAGAGCCAAATGATTTCAAGGGAGTGGCTTCATCATATAAGATGTAAGTTCGAGAAGCTTCGTCTTTCCGTTTTTTTTTTCAATCTTCATGCCGCCCTCGGTATCTGCTACTCTTTCCGCGACACCGTGCCTGCTTCCTATGTCTCCTTGTCTCCTTCCAGCTACAATGTCCCCTCCCTTACAGCACCCAGCTATGGCTGCCCTACTTCACCCAGCTATGGCTTCCCTGCTGCGATCAGCTATGGCTGCTATCTCTTCTACCAGCTATAATGTCCCCTCCCCGCCAATGGCTTCCCTGCTGCGCCCAGCTATGGCTTCCCTGCTGCGCCCAGCTATGGCTGCCCTGCTGTGCCCAGTTATGGATGCCCTGCTGCACCTAGTTATGGATGCCATACCACGCCCAGCTATGGCTTTTATCTCCTCTACCAGCTATTGTGTCTCCTCCTCTACAGTGCCTGTCTATGGCTGCCCTACCGGGCAGTGCGCCCAGCTATGGCTGCTCTACTGTGCCCAGCAATGGCTGCCCTGCTACGTCCAGCTATGAACTGCTCTCTTCTACCAGCTATGGTGTCCCCTCCTCTGCTGTGGCCGTCTGTGGCTGCCCTACTGCGCCCAGCTATGGCTGCCCTACTGTGCCCAGCTGTGGCTTCCCCCTAATGCGGCCAGCTATGGCTGCCCTGCTTCGCTCAGCTATGGCTGCTCTACTTCACCCTTCTATGGCTGCCCTAGTGCGCCCAGCTATGGCTTCCCTACAACGCTGAGCTATGGCTGTCCATGCTGGTAGTCGAGATAGCAAGCATGATGCAGCAGGCACTGCCCCGGCCAGCTATGGCTGCCCTGCTTAAACGCTTAAACTTCCCTACAACGCTGAGCTATGGCTGCCCTGCTAAACTGAGCTGAGGGTGGAGAAAGGATGTTTTGAGAGAAGTTGGGCAGGCAACACAGAAAGATGGTCCATTGCTTCAGTGCTAAACTGAGGCGCAACCATAGGTGCGCATAATGGTGCGCTGCTCCGGCCAGCTATGGCTTCCCTGCTATGCTTCCTATCTCAACTGTCTATATGCCCAGCTATGGTTGCGCCTCAGTTTAGTGCTGAAGCAATGGACCCTCTTTCTGTGTTGCCTGCCCAACTTCTCTCAAAAAATCCTTTCTCCAGCGGCAGCGGGCAAGATGGTCCATTGCTTCAGCACTAAACTGAGCGCAACGTGAATGCGTCGCCACTGATCAGGCAGCAGCAGCAGAGGTATGCTGCTTGGACTTGGGCACCGGCCAGTAGGCCCTAGACCGTTGCGTGTGTGTGCAACTAGCAGGCCCTAGACTCATCCAATTGGCACGGATTGGTACCCAGTGGCTGTTTGAGATTCTCCCCCCCACCCCCACCCATATATATATTAAAAAAAAAAGAAAAAAAGGGTGATGGCCTTGAGATATCCTCATTGAACTAACTGGTCCCAGGTAATTCATAATTATTTTATTCTTCTGGTCATCTGATTGCATCTGGATTCGAACTTGGGTCTGATTCATATTTCAACAGTACATGGGTGTACCAACTGGGCTAGGCCCGTTGGGCCCGTTGGTTTTCCCCCCATATAATTAAATATTAATTTTCGGGATTTACTTAGTTGTATTCCGATGTTATATTCCCATAACATTCGGTGTTTCGTTATCGAAACACACTTCGGAATTTTCGGGATTCACTTTGTTAAATTCCAATGTTATATGAACTTATATCCCCTTAAGATTCGGTGTTTCGCTAGCGAAACGCACTTTGGGATTTTCGTGATTCACTTAGTTAAATCATAATGTTATATCCCCCTGAGATTCGGTGTTTCGTTACCGAAACACATAATGCGAGGAAGATGAGCATTAGCGAACTTCAGCAATCAAACAGCATCATACATATGAGCCCAGATAGTCTTGACCTCGAACCACAGCAGACAGGCATCACGAGATACACCAAATAAGAACATGCCAAGAGTTCAAAATTGACAATGCTGAAGTAGTCCCATCATCATCAACTACGAACCAGAGTTGATATCCTATTGGTGCTCGGCGCCCAGACTACAGGTGGCAGATCCTATCTAACCTATACTACGAAGCAGAATGATGACATCAACAGCGTTCCCGAAGTACGAGCATATGGCGACCAATGTCGCACGCTTCAGCACCAGGTATGTCTCTCGTAACAC